CAATCAGATCTCCTCATAGGTCTACCCAAAGGACTGTATGGGTGTGGCGACAGCTACGACCAGATGCTCTCGCAGCTGCTGGCAGTCACCTGGCCAGAGGAGAAGGCACTGTATACGTTAACAAGCTTCAGAAAATGCCCGAGTTCGGGAATAAATGCTCTTTGGTCTCGGCGGTCCGAAAGGGCCTTGAATTACGGTCTATGGAGAACCAATGCAAGTGGTTACCCGAGACTTACATTCTGTTGAAGGTGACGGTCGCCAAGCATTAGTGGAGAGATTCTCTCCGAGAGAATGGGAGTTCAGGAAATTAGAGCGGCTATTGCAGCCGTGGAGGAATCAGGAGAAGAATCTTGCTGGATCGTGAAGCCGGCGTCGTTGAATAGGGGCATGGGAATAAAAGTATGATCATCATCATCATACTACATCGATAATTACCGCTGGTGTGAGGCACAATACAATTGAATCACCTTAGACTCACCATGTGGAGTAAGAAATTCTATAGTTGCTCTGTTACTCGATATAGTGGCTATATAATATGACGCACTACGTCCCTGCCTGTGCAAATACTCAACAATTCAGATTCTCGACCGGAAAACCGCCTTGGAGTACTTGAAGGGCCTCGAAAAGGGACGGCCATCTAAGGCTGTCATTCAACGATACATTAGTGATCCTCTTCTTTTGGACGGGTGTAAATGCGACTTCAGAATGTTCCTCTTGATGACGCGAACGGAACCGTTGAAGGTGCTCGTGGTATCCGCTTACTGTCCTACTAATCATGATAGGCCTATTTTGCTCGTGGATATGTACGGCGCACTCTGAGTGAATATTGTTCCGATATCACTAATCGCTGTGCACATCTAACGAACCAGGCAGTTCAGAAAAAACTCGGAGATGACTATAAAACTAGGAAGCAGGAATCGACCTGGTGCGGACTATGCTGAAATCACTAGCCCGAAAATGGTATCCTTCAGGAGTATCCAACGCTTGTGTGAATACTTAGCATCGACTTCGTCATCTGAGGGAGACGCCTCGTGGTGGCTTAACACATGGTACTGTCGTGTGTTCGAGCCCATCATTATGGAAATGGCAACAGTGACCTTAGAGGGAGCTCGTGACTCTCTGAGCAGGCAAGGACATTCTCGATGGTGTCCTCTTTAGATGAGAGCCGATCAGTGTTGAGAAATATATGTTCGCTTTCCTCGGTTGAGCCTGAGAGCTTCCCCACTTATTAAAGAGGTTTCCATAGGATTTACGGTATAAGTATACAGATATGTCCCAAAACTTGTCGAAAGTCCCTCGGAATTTCCATATATACGCAGTTGAACTGTTCAACTTGAACATGTGCGTATTTTCCACACAATAGTGGTAGGTCTACTAGACAGTGGAAAAACGGTACCATAATCGGCGGTGAGTTCTTCGGTTATGACGTCCTCCCTGGTGCTGACCTCAAGCCCTATCTCTTGGAGTTCAACTCGAACCCGGCCATATTCACCAACACGGACGTTCTCAATGAGGTGCGGTATGGGAACCGCATCTCAAAAATCTGGAAATCTTTATGCGAACCAATTTCCTCATGAAGTAGATGGGAATAGGTACTCAACCCAACAGGATAGCCTTTGAGAGCAGCTTATCCACTTCTTTATATACTTGAGAGTGTTCCACATGAATAACACATGAAACGGTTCATGCAAGATGTGCATGAAGATACTCATACAAATATATAACGTACGCAACCAGAGAGGGGGATCCTTCACTCATCATCTCGGCTGAGCGTGCGCGATCATAATTTGGTAGACATTCCAAAACTCCATAGTCTTCCGATTCAGCGCATAGATCAATTCCGTAGCTTTAAATTGTGAACGTTTATGCAGGTTATCCCTCCCTTGATCAAGGAAGGCATCGAACTCATCGAGAACGACAACTCGGTGGTCCCATTACACAGAAGTGAAGCTCCTTCGCTATGGCATGTCATAATTGATGACCAGATCGGGTACACTTTTAAACGCTGTGGATAGCGTTCATTCACGCCTCGTGAGTTGTGTTAGCGGTGTTAGAAACCTCTCCTACGTTTAACCTGTTTTTCGCATAGACAATTCGCATAGCAAGAACTCATGCCTCGAGCTCTCGAGTGAATCATATTATGATATCTGCGCGATAGAGTTATTCGGTCTTGAATTATGTCAAAACCAAATCCTCATGTTCGTGGATTGGGAAGAGAGTTTTCATCCATTCACAATACTCCATGTAATCGATGTAAAGGAGAGACGTTTCCTTTCGCCACAGTCAGTGAACGACACGGTTTCAACACATTTGCTCACGGTTTCACCCGTGATATGGAAAACACTAGTGAAAATTTTTCACTGAAAAACCTATTTCACGACTTATCACCGCGAATATCGCTTTTTTCACCAAGCATTACGCCACTTCGCGTAAAACGGGTGAAACTCCAAAGTGTGATGAGGAAAACTGTATGAACAAAGTGTGCTCCCGTCCAAAACAGGCATCGGACTGCAATCACAACAGCAACTTTTTAGAGTACGCAATCGATGAAGATCATTGCCTCTCCCGTATTGGAGTTCTCAAAGCAACTCTCTCAAAGCAGAATATGAAACTAACAATGTCATCGCAGCATTTAATTCGCAAGTCGAGCTCCTCTCTGGTGGTAAATACTGCACCGCAGAAAGCTCCTAATATCACAACAACAACATACAATCAGCCAAAGACTTGCTGCCGATACCTACTGTAGTGAAAATAACAGCTGTATTCCCTGTGTGAGTGAGGAAGCAATCAGCGAGCTGGGCCGTGAACAGGCGTACCTGACCAAGGGGTTTGACGCTCACATTGAAGAGGCGTCGTCTCGCACCAAATTGGTTTCTTTTATCCCGAATCCTTTGAATTTCTCTTTGCTGGCCACACACCTCAGAGTTTTGGGGGATCGCCTCTGTTATCTGCACACAATGGTGATTCAACCCAGTCAGATAGATCACTTGAGAGAAAAATCCCACAACAAAGATGGCGCAAAAATCACGATATTGCTATGGAGCAAAGACATAGATGATCGGACAACTTTGTCCGAGGTTGTCCGATCATTTCGCGCTGTTCAATCCAAGTAAGCATAACTCACCTTCCTGTTATAGGAAAGGTCGAGCGTTTCTAGTAGGCCAGAGTTCTCCAGTATGCTGATCACACCCTCATCACTCACTGGTCGACATCTTAACAACTTCAAGCGTCGAAGTCGAGGAAGGTTCACGGCGAGAAGTGACAATCCTGTATACGGGTCACAGCCTGTGCCGGACCGTCTCTACCCTGTCCCCGTTGTGTCTCTGGCGTACAGCTCGCAGTATCTTTAAGCTGTGACGCTAGT